TATTCACCTGATATTGGCAAGACATCCAAGTATCCAATTGCAAATCATGTATCCACTGAGAAGCTGTCTGAACCACTCAAGGCTTTTGTGCATCAGTTGTCTGCTATCCATATTCCAACCAAGGTCTCTGAAGCATTGAAAGATCCTAAGTGGGTCCATGCTATAAAAGAGGAGATGAAAGCTCTTGAGAAAAATCAGACTTGGACATTGGAGACTATACCACAAGGAAAAAAGACTATCGGATGTATATGAGCGTTTACTATAAAACATAATGTAGATGGATCTATCGAGCGACACAAGGCAAGACTTGTGTCAAAAGGGTACACACAAACTGACTGGAACAGTTTGCAGGTTATGAAAAGCATTGTATGGGTTGAAACAGTCACCACGTGCATGGTTTGGACGGTTCACCATGGCAATGAAGAACAATGGTTTCAAACAGTGCAACTCCGATCATACTCTGTTCTTAAAACATCGGAAAGGGAAGGTAACAACATTAATAATTTATGTTGATGATATGATTATTACTGGGAATGATAAACAGGAAATATCACAGCTACAAGACTATCTGGCTACAAAGTTTGAGATGAAGGATCTAGGTGGACTCAAGTATTTCTTGGAAATTGAGGTGGCTCGATCGCAGCAAGGCATATTTCTCTCTCAAAGGAAATATGTCTTGGACTTGTTGACAGACACAAGAATGCTAGATTGCAAACCTGCGGACACTCCTATTGTTCAGAATCATCATCTTGGAGAATATCCGGATCAAGTTCCAACTGACAAAGAAAGATACCAAAGGTTAGTGGGAAGATTGATCTATTTGTCACATACTCGACCAGACATTGCTTATGAGCGTTGTCAGTCAATTTATGCACTCTCCAAGCAGGGACGGACCCAGGAATATGAACTCGTGGGGTCATAGTGTAAAAGTTCAATTTTTTTTTTTTTAAAATTAAAGTTTGGTGGGGAGAGGGTTAAAGGTTCGTGGGTGGGTGGAGATTGGGGATTTAGGTTTAGGAAATGGGGGTTTTGGAGTTTTGAGAAGGGTATGTTCTGTTTGGTCGAAGAGAAGGGTTTGTTTCAACTACAATCTGTTTTTTTTTTTTTTTTCCAAAGACTTGGATCAAAACGACGTCGTTTTGGCCAGGTCTTTTAAAAAAAAAATTTCGTTGCTACTGGTCCAAAACGACGCCGTTTTGGTGCCAGCACATTTAAAAAAAATTTCGCTGGGTTCAAAACGACGCCGTTTTGGATCCAGCGTATTTTAAAAAAAAATTCACTGGGCTGGTCCAAAACGACGCCGTTTTGGCCAAACTGGTTTTATAAAAAAAATTAGAAGCTGACCCAAAATGACGCCGTTTTGGTCAGCTTCTTTTTATTAAAAAAACTGAACCCCTGTTCAGCTTCTTCTTCCTCATATTTGCAACTTCTCCTTCAGCCATTCATGGGGTCACATACAGGTTCAAATGGACCTTCTACCTTACGTTCATGGAGTCCATAGGGTCGTTTGACCCCATTGGCCCCACTGTGGGTCCGTCTCTGTCTCCAAGTGAAGACCACATGAATGCAGTTCTTCGGATACTTAGATATTTGAAGTCTGCACCTGGAAAAGGACTTATGTTCTCAAAGCATGGTCATCTAAATATTGATGGTTATTCAGATGCAGATTGAGCAGGTAATGTAACAGATAGAAAATCCACATCGGGTTACTTCACA